CCCCCCCCCCCCCCCCCCCCACCTGCGGCCATTAGTAACTTCCAAGTTGGACTTTGTATTCTAAGCACCCACGTGGCAGGTTCTGGCATGGCCCAGAAGATGCGTCAGCATCTTCTCTTGCGCCTGCCTGTGGCTGCCCAGCAGCACTTGGAAATTTACTTTCGTCGTGCATGTTCGATGTCCCTTTGCAGGATCAATCTCTCAGGGAAGGCGGTTAATTATTGCTAGGACAAATATGTAGGTTATATCCGAGGGTTGTAATATCTGGTATCTACATCACAACTGTAATGTATCTAAGTAGTTCTTCGCAATCGTGTCGATGAGAGTTGGGTTTTGCTCCGGCTGTTGGAGCGGCACAACTCATGCAGGTCTTGTGCATCCGAAAATGAGACAGTTCGGGTCGACATGATGGGGATGCTCTTCTACTGGCAGGGTTTAAGTTTAAAGTTTAAGGTTCAATGCTAGGGTTTAAAGACGCAGTGAATCCAGGCATTAGCCTTCAATGATTGAAGTCACACTTGTCTTCCATGTTGCCGAGCCGCGAGCACAGTAGTTTCAGGCACCGGAGCATTAAAGTTGAGGGTCTCAACTGTCACCTTATTCGACTTACAACTTGTCGTCGCGCGTACAGCCTCTGCGTGAGACGGAGGTCATGCGTGTCTGTTCATCAGTGTTGGCTTCATGCTGTGACCCGGTTCTGTGTTCAGAGCCGCCAGATCGTATCTACAACCGTGGGCAGTGTCATGGTTCTGATTGCTCAGGGCCCGTAATGTCCGAAGGGTACAGGTTCTAACGCTGATACAATTTTTCGGGGGCGTTGGGTCCACAGGGGTTGGGTTTTGCTGTCCCCGTAACACAACCAGTCCCCTGCCTGGAATCCTCGAAAGCCTAAGCAGCTGAAGCATTTAGCTCGCACTTCTAGTGCATTATGCAAAGTGAGGACCACATGGGCACAGTTTCCGTCCGGTCGTAATCCACTACGCAGCATATTGCACTTGGCAAGAGGGCTCTCCGATAAAGCCGCCAACGGACCCAAACCCAGAACTACCGTGTGCTTCGCCGTTGCATGAGGTGCTGGGTGTTTGCTTGCGCTTGAGCGTTGCTTTCCGTGTTGCTTCCTGGCAGGCAGATGCACAGAAGCATTAGTTGGGCCAGGGGTTTCGTTATGTTTGCGATCCCCCACATGTCGTCGTTGCAAGTATGTTGTTAAGCTCGTATCATCTATTGCTTGTCTGACCTTGTCAGTACACAACCTAAAAGCTCATGGCCAGGACGGGTGACTGACCCAGCATGTTTATTTTAGTTCGTCTTTGCAGCCCAACATGGAGACGGTTGCTACAGCAAATCTTGTGCACAAGGAAGGAAGCAACGAGGTTTGAAGGCATGGGCTCATGCAGCCCCCTGAAACACCGAGTCAAGCGTTTGTTGAGACGTTCCCCGACAGAATGAAGAGAGAATTCTGCTTCTTGCCTACGATTTCTCAGTTTACCTGTGATAACCTTTGTCACAAGACTCCGAGTGAAAACCCGATCTCACGCCCCATCGGGCCATTCAAAGATTGCTTGAGAGGATGAGCCACGGCAGGGCCGAGCAAAGGCCGACAGCAATAGGGACACCTGGGCTGACGCTTGGCACTGCAAGACAAGGCATCGAGCGGGGACTCCTTCTTACTCAGGCGGTTTCAATCGTACTTTCAAGACTTGAAAGGGTGTTAATACGCTGTGGTAAGGCAAGGCTGCACGAATTCGTCAGAGGCTCTATAGAAAATCCTCCTCACACTCGTGCGTATCAGAATTTCTGCAACTTTCTGTTCCTACAGCTGTGCCTTATATTTTCAAGCACCCGGCATTCAGCGGAGCCTCAAAGCTGCCTGCATCTAACAAAACGAGCCACAGCCACCCTAAACTCCTCAGCCCGAACCCTCTGCACAAAACGGTGGATCCGCCAAAACCGTGCTGCAGTCGGAGACGTAGCACGGCCATGGGAGCCCGAGCGTCAGCGTATCCGCAACCAGGTCTCCTTACGCTGAACTCAAGAACCGCTTACTTCGCGGCGGCGCGGTGGTTGGGGAAAGGCGTAGACAACAGATCTCCCTACGCTGAACTCAAGAACCGTTTACTTCGCGGCGGCGCGGTGGTTGGGGAAAAGGCCTAGACAACAGATTTTTCGGGGAAGCTTCAATGCAGCTGAGGACTTCTTCAGTGAGCTTGACATCCTTCTGCGGAACCTCAGTCGCACCAGAGGGGTCATGGGATGGTTGCAAGCAGGGTCCCTGGGGGGAGGTGTTTGCGTGCCTCAGGGTCCCCATGCCAATGTGTCATTATTCGCCCTTTTTACTCAGCAAGGTCTTGCAAGTTCTGCGGCTTCACGTATAGAGTCTCAGGGCTTTGTGGAGATGGTTCCCCGTATTTTGCCTCATGCCCCTTCTGCTCGACTCTCGCGACCTTGAGCCAGATATCCCCAAAACGAACGTCTTCATTGCTTGAGACCCAGAGTGCCTCGTAAATGGTTTTTAGTCGGGATTTAAGTTGGATGAGCTCAGTTAAAGCAGTTAAAGACACCTACGACTCCTACTTCTAACCTCCTCACTGCATCTTTCGTGTCAGGGTTGCAGGTAGGATAAACCCAGCTAGTACGTACAGGCTTGCCGGTGACCTATACTTACCAAGCCCTTCGAGCCTCCATCCCAGAGGACGCTGGACCTTGTTTGGTTGCTGGTGGCCATGGCAATCGCCTTGGTTATCGAGCCCTGGCCGCAGTTTGGTGCCGGGGCGTCGGAAACTCTAGCTCGCCTGCCCGAAACAAGTCTCCGACTGATGTCTTCCCAGGCATGCTGGCAACCTTCACAGATTGTGGGCGACACCTCGCAGGTCGGTTGCTGGGCTGAGCTTGGAGGTCTATTCTCAGTTTTGAGATACTCGCAGCAACAGGGCGTTTGGTTTCAGACGGGATCCTGTGTTTGGGGGATTGTTGGTTGCACCGCCCCAAGTCAAGTCACCAATTGCAGTTGCGATTTCTATTGCCTGCTATTGCCATTCTTGCTTCGGGCTTGCGAAAGCTGTTTCCTTGGTGGGCTATTCCTCTCCGTGTTAAAATGCAGCGGGCGGTTCTGCGATCACCGTGATCCTTAGGCCATTGAACGACATGCATCGTTTCGCCACTGCGGAAGGGTGGGCGGGTGCAGGAACTTGGGAAGACCCTCTGGAAGGCTGATCAACCGGCTGTGCCGCCCACGTGACGAAAGGACTGTGCCACGGTGGCAGGCCATCCATAGACTCCCATAGACCAACAGAGGGTAGACAAAGCAATCCACAAGAGCCCGAACATCGGAACACCTTTCCCAAGCCATCGGAGCCTGAAGAGACCTCGAATCCTGCTTGACACTTTTGGTTGGTAAGGATCTGATGGCGTCAAGTGGACGCCACCGCCATGGTACACCTTGACCACGATCTTCGCATCGCTCTCCAGCCACGCGGCTGGCATCCTCGGCTTCGTGGGCTTCCAGAAGATCGTGGTGGCCAGGCCATTGGGAGGTTCGTTGTTGGAAGCGGGGCAGCGACAAGGGCCCGAACAACTCGTAACACTTGTTCCCAGAGTTCTCTCATGTATGCATCTCAATACAAGAGCCTGCCTCAGGAATAGCAATCGTACTATTCTTCTCGAGGCCCTTACGAAGCTATATTGCGTAGTAAAGCCGGTCTTCGTTGCTGCTTGCCAGGATCGTGTCCACCAGCCAGCCGAGGGCCAACTGGTCGACGCCCAATTTCCTCCTCCTTACCAGCATCGCCATTTCCATCACGGCGATCTTTTCAAGCCTCGTGTGCCTGGGTCATGTTCTGTCGGTTTTGGGCTATGCATGTCTTCCTGGGTGCTTTGAGGGCTGCATGCGGAGGGGTGGGCCGGAATCTGCTTCAATCGCGAATTGCCAGGATTTCACTTCTGATAGTTACTGCACCGGCCTCACCTGCAGAACAGGTTTATGGGCGTGGACTACTTGCGCCGTCTGGCCATCGATAGTGCACGGAGCCGGGGCTTCCGGCTGGTTTTCATGCGCGGCAAGCTGGAGCGCACAGGCCGGGGAGGGATGGGAATGCTGGCATGTATTTGTGCAGCAGTGGTCTGGCATGTGCTCTTCTAAGAGCAGATGGAATCTGTCGGCATTGGATTTGTTGTTACGTTGCTTGAATGAGTCGTGTCCCACTAGTTGGGAAAGGAACCATCGCTGTCGCTACCCTCCCAACAACGATTGGTAGGGACCTCAAAAGAAACATCATCAAAGTCCCATACAGCCGGAACCCCGAAATCCCCCATGTGGAGGACTCGGGATGGCGCTGATCATGTTAACCTTCGTGCTGATCGCACTGCCGCTGGCCGGCACAAAGCTGGGCTTGAGCCGGGGAGTTCTTGGGCAATTACGGGGTTAAGGGTCAGAAGATAAGGTGGCTCGCCTGCTTCCTGCATCGATAAGGCAAAGCATCGGAGCGGGTCGCAGTGCTTCACATAAATATCTCGGGCTGTCACCAAGTGCGCGTTGAATCGTTTGAAATCATTTTTTTGGTTACCCGTCTTTCGTTGTTGGGGTCCTCTGCTGAGATAGTTGTTGTCATTATTGCTGTGAAAGAAGACCCCCAGGAGAGACTTGGCAGAAGGTTGCGACTATTGAAGTTTTACGAATCAGATGAATTTAGAAATTAGACCGGATGTCACAAGCAAAACGTAAAGTGCAGGGCAGAAGCCTGAGGATCAGAAGCTCTGAAGATAGTCAAATCGGTCCTGCGAGGTGAAGGTCGAAGGGCAGAGCTGATGGGTTTCTGACATCTCTGACCCTTCTGCCAAGTCTCTCCTGGGGTCTTCTTTCGTAAGGTTCGAGATTGATGGTAATAGCAATAATGACAACAATAACAATAGGAAGGGAAAAAGAATGGTAGCTCAATAGCAACATGCTACCAATGTGTCGGGCGGACTGGCTCGCGAACTGAGGTACATGCTTGTCATCTACACGGAGACGCAGAATTCGAAGAAACAGGATCCATGTGCTACGGGTTCATCCTTGCTCCATGAGAGGCAGAAGCTGACCGACATGCGATCCCTACAAGCCACGGCCGCCGTAACGGCACTTCAAAGCCCTTGAGCAATAGAGACTGAAAGTTTGCCCACATGGAAGCCGCGCAAGGAGGCATCTCCAGATTCGGCCGTCAACGACTGGGGTCACATGAAAGTGTTCTGGGACAAGGCCGCATTTGCGCCGTTTCGTAGAGTGAAAACAGAAGCTTGGCCATGCAGACCCGAGCGCACGGCATCTATAGCCCTGTCACAACATTTTCAGCTGAGACCCCAAACATCCAAATCGACATGTGGAACGAATGTATCTCCCACTATGTTGCTCGCAACGGTGCTCATGTATAAGGTGCGTAGAAGCTGAACTCGCAGTTCTGACAAGCCCGAGCCGGCGCTGACACTTGACAAGACCTACCAGGAATCCTGACTCTACACCAACCCAACAAGATCTCATAGTAAGCTTTCACGCAGCCCCAATTTTCGAGGCCTGCAGCTGTGCTACGGTCCTTCTTTACTTCCACAACCTTCGCAGCTTGTGTGAATCACCCAAGGCCACGCTTGTCGTTTAGGTTTAGGGTTTGGGTTTACCCTGCAGGGTTCGGTTCAGGGTCAGGGGTACTGCGTGTCAGCTTTGAGCTAGCTATAGGGGTTTGGGATGCGAGCTGTGGGTTTGTCAGCTTGCGGGTTGAAAAATGCAACGCCCCAGCACCGCGCATGGAGGTTGCGAACCTGCTTTTTTCAAGTCAACAGTGCCCTGGGAGTAGGTCCAGGTGTATGGCAGGCTGACAGGACCCAAGATCTTGGACTTTCACGGATTGTTGTCAGGACGGCAGAAGATTCGGAAGAACGATCGAGTATGCTCCAACTCAGCAGAGTCTATAGATGCACAACTGCAGCCTCCCCCAAAACTGCAGCCACCCACCCCTGCCTCAAATCCGCCGAGGGGCGGAACGCAAACTGCCCCAAACCCGAAACCATAGCCATAACGCCGGAGGTGCCGTTCCACCAGACTGTCGCAAGTGCAGACGAGGATCTGGAGCAAATCAACATCAAGGATCTTCAGGGTTTGGTTTAGGGAGGGACCAGAGCTTCGGGTTTGGGTTTGAAGGGGTATAAGTTTTACGGAGCGCAAGGGGCCCGGGACGCAGCATATGGCAGGCGCCTTCAGAAAATAAGAGCGATGGTTTGTGGGGGGCAACGAGCTCCAAGCCTCCAAGCATGATTGGCTCTGCTGTTTCCGCACACTCAGAATGAATGAGCCTTGCTTTGTACATTCTCCGCTGCAGGACTACTTGACGAAGTTCTGCAATCGCCGTGATGAAAGGTGGGCTAATTGCACAGATTGAAGCTGGTACTAGAGCACTTGGCGCGTGATGATGCTGCTGATGACTCTTCGCCCTGCAATGATACGAGAACCAGGCAGCAAAGCAGCGTGATATGAAGAATTTCAGCCGAATCAGAGCATAACACATCACTAGCCGCAGCTGGTAAACTTCGGCCGCTGAAGTCTTCTTGAATTCTTGCAGTTCAGCACCGAAAAACCTCAACCCAGCTATATGTAAGCCGCATACAGGTCCCTAGTTCATCTCGGAACCTCCTCGTGTGAGTGTCTGATAAACAGAGGTGCCTTCAGCGATCTTCTTAAAAACAATCCTACTGTTTCGGGTTTATTTGAGGGTTCCCTTCTTTTTATCAATCTCCCTCATCTTCAGACTGCTCCAGCCTCGACCAACAGATCGATGGATCAGCTTTCTTGAGCACCTCCAGGTCTAATTTCCGAAGCTGCCTGGCCTACCTTGCACATGGTTTGGCCGGGGAGGACTGTCGAACCTCCTGCGCTTTTGAAAGGCTTATTTTTTTTAAGCCCCAAGACGACCTTGCAATGTTGGGGCTGGTGAAAAAGAGCAGCAGTAGCAGCCACAAGTAGTCGTAGACATCGCCTAATCCATACGCGCCTGCACATGCATGCATACATCGACGCGCCCAGAATGCCACACTACATACGCATCATCACACAGAAGTTTTCATCCTTGCAACTGCGTGTGCATGCGACAAACTGAACCGGTAACCCACACCGACTAGATTCAGCAATGAGCCTTTCAGTAGCCAAACATGAGCAGATGGAGCCTGTTCTAAAGTCCTTCAACGGCATGCTCAGAGTGCGATGACGGCGATGATGGATGTGCAGAGAAGTCCTTGTGAGGTACGTTTATTCTTGACCGCAATCATTGTGCTTGCTTGCGATTCTTCCGTTTGTGCTGAGAGGCCGGTGCAACCTCACACGATAGTTGCCGCTGATATCAGAGTTTACAGCCGTCGTTGACTTCTGGAATCAGATCGGCAGGAAGAGTTGTGGCACTTCATGCGCTAAACCTCTATATCTCTCTCTCTATATATATATATATGTATGTATGTATTTATGTATTTACTTATCCCTCCAGCTTACTCGGCCTCTCACAAGACCGTCCATGTGAATGTGTGTTTGGTGGCACCATTTGCATCCCGACGTGCCGCAATGCTCGCATCCAAAGCTTCTAACACTCCGCAGAGACTCCCAGAGTGCCGCATGAAAGCTTCGTGCAAACGCGAAAGCGCCACAAAACACCCAGCATGCATCCCATAAGGTTCCATGTGGGCATAGAAGTCGCGCCATCTTTTATCGTTGGCCGCACGTCTGCTCGGTCGCAGGACATCGGCCTCCTGTTGAAGATGGGCACGCGCCGTGCCTTATTCCCGAATCAGCGCTTGGCGCCGCTTTTGCACGTCGCAGCCCGCCTTGCACTCATGTAGGCAATTTACATACTAGCCGCAAGAGCAGGTTTTATGCTCTTGAGGGTAATTAGATTTGTCGTAACATATCTTTTCGTGGGGGTATACTCAACTTGATATGGTTAACTAGCCCGAAGGCCGACGCCAGCAACCCAATGCGACCTACTCAGTGACCTGTCACGACTTCGTCTCGCGCTGCCGAACCTCGGAGGACCTCTTGCAGTCTCTTTTCAGGAGCTGTCCGAGGACCTGACGAGAAAAAGATGGAGCAGAAAGGTTAGAAAAAGGAGGTCGCAAAAGACGGTCGTGACTTGCTTGACCTGTCCGAAGAACTCTCGAGCTCGACATCTTCCACGACCACCTCACGTGAACCCTCGCAGGACTCTCTCTTCCACGACCTTGCTAAGGACTTGTTGCCTTTTCTTAGGACCACCTGTCCCTTATAAGACATCCTCCCATTGATGTCCTCACCGTGTCACATACATGTGGATCCAGACATGGCGATCGATATGTGCAGTCGAGACCCGCAACCTTTACACGCGAAGCGTTCTGCAAAACAATCATGAAGCATGTAGGTTGCATGGATTCCAAAGCTCGCTTACCTTGTCTTGATTGATAGTGGTACTGACACGGTCATATGCAGCCGAGGTCGGTATTCTGATGCTCTTCGGCATGGTTCCAGGCATCTGTCAGTTTGCCACGGAGAAGCTCTTCGACGACCCACAGATTCTGGAAGTGAGTCTCGGCAGGAGGAATTTGGACCGAGTGGAGAACAGAACTTGGTCATGAACACAGCATGCGATCAAGCCAGACATGTCAGACTTTGCCATGCTGGCGTCCACGGAGTAGGAGGGGCGAAGGAACGGCATCACTTCCTTGCAAGGAGGCCGATCTCGGCGGACTTGTTGCCTGCTTTCGATGCCGAAAGCAAACGCAGAAAATATGCGCTGCTATTGGGCAAAGAGCCTCGTCTCCACGTGAAGACCAAGTCCGCGCAAACCTCGAAGCTTGGTTTGCAGTTTGGCGGCTGCAGGGAGTTTGCCCACCAGCTGTTTTTGACGCCAGGAGTATCGAGATCTGTTGCGAGACGGATCCAGACAACTGCAAGGATTACAGGCTCGAGCACTCACTGATTCAATTCGATGAGAAGCCCGCCATCCTCGACGTTCCGGCTGCGGCATCCACGAAGTGCAAACTGACTGCTCGAGGCTGGGCTGGGTAGTTCGTCCTCGATTGAAGGCCCATAGCTAAGCTAAGCTACAGAAGACGGGCCGTGCAGAGTAGCTGTCGTATGGCTCACCAGGCTGCTGTGAGTCTTACTCCGGGGTTGAATCGGCCCAGTGCGTATTGCAAGCACACCTGATTGTTCCTGGGGTCTTTGAGAAGAAGCATTCTCGCAAGGCCTGAGCAAGAAGTCATCGACGACGCTGGACTTGAACGTGGAGGTGAAGACCATCAAGCATGTGTGTGGCTGCTTGAAAAACAAATGTTCCTGCTGTGATGGGTATGAAGGCGACCTCGACGCTGAAGCAGAGGAAGTCCAGAACATGTTGGCGAAAGATTTCTGCACTCCGGTTTCATGTGCCATTGATAATTCGAACCGGGAGCCAGGTCCGTCGTGTAACTGCAGCAACGGCTATGCTGGGAACATTGTCTGGGAGGGTACCAATGTCAGTGGCAATTGTACCCCTGCTCCATGCTACATTGAAAATTCGACCAGGAAGCCGGGTCTCCAGTGCCAGTGCAGGGAAGGCTTCTCCGGTGCGGTTCACTGGGACCAATCTGTTGCATCTGGTGAATGTCTGCCAGCTGACTGCGGCATTCCAAACTCCATTGGCATGGGGCCGGATTGCAAGTGCAAGGACGCCTACGACGGCAACATCAGCTGGAACGGTTCAGACGCTAGCGGGGCATGTGCACCGGCTGCAGGCTGTGCAGAAAACGTTGAAAACAGCATAGGCGAAGGACCCCGATGCAAGTGCAAAGATGGTTTCACAGGCAAGGTTCTTTGGACGGGTGCAGTGCCTCACGGAAGCTGCAAAGCAGCAGAGTGCCACATAGAGAACTCCAACCTCGAACCCGGCCCAGGCTGCAAATGCAAGGATGGCTATGTGGGTGATATAAGGTGGCATGGAGACCGTCCGAGCGGCTCTTGTACACCGGCGCCTTGTGCGATCAAGAACTCCAACGAGAAGTCGGGCCAACGGTGCGCCTGCCTAGATGGGTTTGCAGGAGAGATCACATGGAAAAACCACACACCACAGGGGCTCTGTCAGCCTGCGTCATGCGCAAGCATTGCGAATTCAACGGGTTTCGGAACACAGTGTAGGTGCAGCGATGGTTTTCAGGGGACTGTGACGTGGTCGGGTGCCAATGCTTCTGGATCCTGCACGCCTGCAAAGTGCACAGTTGCAAATTCGAATTGGGAGCCTGGGCCTGCATGCAAGTGCCCCGAGGGGTTCCGGGGCGGAGTTCGTTGGAACGGACCAAACTCTCACGGCCTTTGCGCTCCCCTGCCGTGCCATGGCACACATTCGAATGGCAAGAGGGGCCTTGAGTGTGGTTGCAAAGATGGATTCGAAATCAATGGGTCCCGAGAGCTGGTCGTCCTGAGGACGAGGATCTATAATCAAACAGCTTTCGCTGTCAAATGTATACCGGCTCCGTGCAGTTTAGAGCATTCAAACAGGCAGCCGGGCAAAGAATGCCGCTGTGCAGATGGGTACGACGGGGACGTTACGTGGAAGGCTCAGGTACCCAGTGGGAATTGCAAGCCAGCCCCCTGCTATGTTCCAACCTCTAACCGCAAGCCAGGACTAGAGTGCAAGTGTTTGGATGCGTTTTCTGGCCAGATCACGTGGATGGGCGAAAGGCCAAAGGGCAGATGCCGGCCGGCCCAATGCAACATTTCCAACTCCAACCACAAGGCGGGGAATGACTGCAAGTGTCAAAACGGTTTTGTTGGAGAGATTGTGTGGAAAGATGACGTACCCCATGGGAGCTGCAAGCCCGCTTCTTGCAACATTCAGAACTCCAACCTCGAGCCTGGGCCGGCCTGTCGGTGCAAGGACGGCTTCGCAGGATATATCGCATGGGACGGTACATCGGCCACAGGGGCGTGTGAGCCCATGCCCTGCCATGTTCTCCACAGTAACTACGCACCAGGTCCCGCATGTCGGTGTTTGCCAGGGTTTTTTGGACGCATTGTATGGAGTGGCCATACGGTGTCTGGAATGTGTGCGCCCCGGCCGCTGTGTGGGTCTGAGCAGGAAGAGGTGGTCCATGTGACCCGACTTGTTGCAGATCTGATAGATGATAGCTACCACAACACGTGCACGGCAGGACAGGCCATGCTTGTCCATGGTCACACCGAACGCACATATGATGCCAAATTACGATTGAGATGGACTTTCGCAGAGGCCTTGCCGCCCGCCAAATGCAAGGTGGAATGGCGTGATTCGCAAACCACAGAGGTCAACAATCCCGACCCGGAACACTTCAGCCTCACGAGCTGGTGCTCAGCGATGCCTGGCCAGCCACTCTGCTCGTCGCACATCGTGTACACCGTGACCACTCGCAACACATCGCAGTATGCCTGCGATTCTTGCAAGACGTCAGAGCATGCTTTGACAGAGTTTAGAGGCAGCCGCTGTGGATATGACCTCATCAAGTGGGAGTCCCTGACCATTTCGCCTGGATCGCCCAATGCGTGCGAGTGCACCCTGTCATTGAGCTGCAGCGAACTACCTTCAGAAGAGCTTCCAAGAGCTTGTATCCACTCCGCAGAGCCTGCGATTCTGTTCGAGGACGATGGGGGTTATCTGCTTTTCTACGAGACCGGAGAGGTTTCCCAAGCGATCTCCAGCACGGAGCTCAGTTTTGGAGCAGCCTCATGTCATTTAGAGCTGTAGTACTCTTCGGAAATGCGACCCACGCTCCGCCACATTGCTACGGATACTGTTCGTAAAGCCAGGTCCCTATACCAGGCGGGTGGCTCTAGGTTCAAGGCTGATGTGACGTGGTAACTTCATTAATGCCACCATGTCTTGTAAGGGCCGCCGTTGTAAAAACGGTAAGACGATGAAGCACTTGCGAAAGGCAAGGCCTGCCACAACTTGCCGACTATCAAAACAGAAGTCTTGAGCCAATCTGACTCGCATCCCGGAGCAAGATCGACAGCAATCATTATGTTGCCCCTTCTATACCGTCTATACTCTAATGCAGGGCTTCAGGTGCGTTGTGACACGCAAGTTTTCCGAAATGCACCATCCAGTGCAGGCTTGAGAGATGCACGGTCTTTCATGGGGTTGTAGACAGCAGCCGATTGCCAGGTGCTGATGACGTTGACCAGGCTGATGAACTGGGTGCCGTCTCTGCGGATTGGAGGTGGCTCTGTGATGGGAAGGATCTCTACATTGTAACGGCGGAAGGCATCGACCGCTGGTCTGGGGCCGCCGCCGACTCGTTGTTCGTCTACTCTGGAGATGACTTTGACGACGAGGACTTCGCAACCTTGGAGGCTCGCACAGTTCTCCCACCGTGGTGGAAAGTGAAGTTCCAACAGGGAGTGGCTCTACCCGGCAGCTTCAACACCGACACATTGTCGGGCTGCGGGCTCTCTTTCCAGTGGGGGAACTTGTGCTACCACACTCATTTCGGATTCAGCGTCAAAGTCGCTCCGGCACAAGGTGATTGTGCTTTCCAGCATGTCACCGCAGCAGACAGCCACACCTTTTACGAGTACAAGTCATCAGCCTTTGGGGTCCAGACTTACAGATCTTTTGTGACGTGCTACCCCACAGCAGCCTTCGAAGAGATTCGGGTGCAGGTGGAGGACGTCGTCATGCCCGCGGGCCGCGTCGAGGCTGAGGTTGGTGGCTTTGACTGCCGAAGAACGATACGCTACAGGCTGGATGCGGCGTCATATCTGTCCAGGTGTGAAAGCGCTTTGAAGCAACGGGAGAGGGCTCGTTGACTGTGAAAGAAGACTTGCTGATGTATTAACATGCTCGTTCCGAGGAGCGCCTGAGGAAAACAGCCCTCATGTAGCAGTTGTGCTTGTGCTCGTACCTGCTGGTGTGCGCGCACGGACATTGCCTGCTCGTGGAGGTGAGCAATCTTTACACTCTTACGTTGTGTTGGCTTCCTAGCTTTAGTAGCAGGCCCAGCCATGTAGCGCTTGCGTGTGACATGCGCAACCCCGCTCTTCTGGCTTGGGCCTTGGCGATCCACGCAGCGGCGATTCAGGAGAGCGGTGCAGCAGTGCAGTAGACTCCACAATTTGAAGGCGAATCCAGCTGTTCTTGCAATAACCCTGTTGTGCGGGCTTCATCATAGCCAGGCGGGGGGCAAAAAGGCATCACCATAAAATGGTTACCGAAACCTGGAACAGTGAACCCTTTCAGCCACAAGTCCTGATCCCTAAAGTCTGATGTCATCATCAACCTTGAAGTTTCAACCCTAAGACAAGCATTCAGCCCTGAACCGTAAGTCAGTATGTTCTACGTTTTCGTACGTTTAAGGTTTGGTGTCGTGTAATTGTGAGCTTTGGTGTTGCGTCGCCAACAATTCCCGTCTTAAGCTCGCCGCACAAAAGCCTCAACCCTAGAGTCTTGTCCGGGAGTGCGTGTACTGAGGGAGCTGCAATGAGAGGGGTACTTGCATGATTGACATGCATTTAATTTGTACTGTTTTTGCCTTAATTAGGAATTTGGAATTTAGAATTAGGACGTGCTGATGGCATTTTGCCAAGAATGTAGTTTCCCTGCTTTCCTTTAGGATAGCCTCGTACTGCTGACCAATGTGTCTTTTTTTCGTACAGTCTTGCTTCTTGTCACAACAAGTCTCTGAACCCTCAGGGTGATTGGCTTAAACTTAGTCGGAGACCTGTGACATGAATGCCGTAGTTGTGGTAGAGATCTGCAGGCTCGAAGTTTCCGAGTTATTTTCAGTTAATGGTGGCTAGTACTTCGAGCTGATCTCTATCCGGTAGTACAGTGTTGTCGTATTGCACCAAGTCCTACCTCGCTTGTGGGCATTGATCCTTAGCCATGCGAGAGGGAAAAAAGAGTCTGTCCCGAAGCTCGGTGAGTGGGAAAAAATCGGTCCTTACACACTAACACTTCAAAAAGGAGGCTGTAGTTCTTCGGCCTCAGCTTTCCGAAGGGACAACACTCCCTGGTCTGCCGTCTCACGCTTGTCATCTCGGCATGAGAAGCTCTCGGTCCAAACACCAAGTTCTTGTTCCGAGACAGTGAAAGGTACAATAACATATCTACAGTTCAAAGACCCCCTCCGAACCCCTAGGCTGATCATTCAGGGCTTGCTGCAGGAGCATCATGCCACGCTCGACGTAGGCAGCCAAGTTCACGCGGAAGTCCAAGGCTGGGGCTGGGCAACCTAGACCAAAGAGCAGTTTTTGGCTTACAGCCACACGTGCTCGCCTTCGCACCTGGATCAGCCTCGCCTGCATTGTCCGAGTCGCGAGAGTCCAAACCCCCCAAACTGAAAAACCCTCGCCTCAGATATGTGTAACGTATCTGAGGCTGGTTGATAACTCTCGTAAATGCGTGACTTGTGTCGAACAGCCTCGGATTTAGGTTTTGCCTACGTCGCCTGGCAGGTCCAGCGGTGAGCGCCGGCCTGGTTTGTCCGAGTTGTGAGAGCGTAGAGCCCCAAACGAAAGCCTACAAAGCCGTCCTCAAAGGACCCCTTAAATAGGAGCCTCAAGGCACTCAACTCAGAACGTCACGTCTTCAGGGTAGAAAGGGTTTTTGTGGGGAATTAGTAGCGCCTGCAATTCGTTGAAGGGGAAGCGATATAGTCGTAGATCTAGAGCTCCCCTCCAGCCCGTACCCGTTCCCACTTGACTACAGAACTTGGGCGACGGGCGGAAAAGGCCAGTGCCGCCGGGGTCAGTGAATTGACCGGGCAAGGATGTAGATACGTTACGAACCAGGTGTTCCATAACAGCAGGCGTGACGGTTCAAATATTGGGTCTTTTGATCTCAACGGCGCCTGCATTCGGAATCATGCCGCTTGCCGAGTGTTCTCCGATTCTCGTTCGTCTATGAAACCCGCGGTCTGGTCTGTGTTGTTCGTCGCGTGCGAGGAGCGACTTCTCGTCAAGATGCCGACGAGTAGGCAGACAGTTGCATACATGCTTGCGCGTCGTGCAACGCGTGCTTTAAAGCACACGCCTAGTAAGAGGTCGTCTTATGTTCACACCATTGTTTTGCCACATCTCTGGTCTTTCAACCCTCGGCGTGGCTTTGGGTGTTGAGGGGCTGAATGTGGCAAAACCCACGGTCCTCATGGGCCGTGCAAGCCTGCCATGATACCGTGGATGCCGTCAGTCTTGAAGCGTTGCACTTGAGGAGGCCTTTCCGCAATAATGATTTCGGGTCTAGTTTTGGGGCTTTCCGCTTTTTGCGGTCCTTCTATCTGTATTGACTTTTGACACAATCAAAATCTTGGTGTCGAACGTGACTTCCGTGAGCATGCTGCGACCGTAATGGCTTAGCCGCGAGTGGTAATTACGCCTTTGCACACAGTGTGTGAGGTATGGTCAGAGATCTGGATGCCAACGAGGGGTTTTTCAAGCTTGAACCTTGACGATTGAAGACTTGGTCTGTAGAAGCCCTACGGCCCAAACATGCAAGTCAACCCACTCGAGAGTCCTGTTTGTACATTGGACATAAGAGGGGTAGATGTTCCTTAGCAGCCCTTCTTGGATTCCCCGGACGACCGACCGGTAGCCATGTGTTCTTCTGGCAGCGGAAACTCTAAACCCCGAGCACTGACCTCTGCGTGTTCATCCGCGTATGGCCCTACCTTCTCCGTTCTGCTATGCATCATCTTCACTATTTTCGCAATGTGATCATCATGGTCAACTGGTAAACTGCTACGTTGGACCTTGTATTCCATGCTTGGAGGCGGAGGATTAAGCACACTCTGAGTGCACCCTAGTGCCAGGCTCTGGCATGGCCCTGAGCCTGAAGACGCGGCAGCATCTTCTCTTGGGCCTGCCTGTGGCTGCCCGGCAGCACCTCTTCCCCAACATTCGATATCCCTTCTTCAGGACGCTATACTTTAGCAGTTATTGCCACAACAGTTGCACGAGTATTTTCGACGGCTGTATTTTCTATTGATCTACTGTCTTCACAGCTCAATAGTAACGGACAATGCGATAGAACGATAAACATAGTCGTAATGATGTTAATGTTGATTGTGGAAGTTCTTCGTAATGCTGTCGGCGAGAGTTGGGCTCTGCTCCGGCTGTGGGCACATCTGGCACGGCAGAAGTCGCGGAGGTCTTGTGCTTCCGGAAATGGGCTGTTCGGGCCGACACCATGGGGATTCTCTTCTACTGGCAGGGTTTGAGGTTCCATTGCAAGGGTCTTACGACGCAGATCTTCCCCTGAATCTATTGGAGGGAGCTTTTGACTGCTCACCTGACACTCTGGTTCCATTTTGCCAACCACCAGCGCAATGGTTCCCGGCTGCGGGGCATTGGAATTTAGGGCTGCAAGATCCTGACCAGCCCACGACCATGAGCGGTGAAATCCATGTTCAGAGGTGGTTTTTGGTGCGTAGCGGGAGAGCGTTCTGAATGCTTGGCACATACGACAAGGCACAGACAGAGGGAAGAGCTTGAGAGAGCCTCGTTTTCCGTGCGGGGGGTGGTTGCCAGGAACGCCTTCTGGAATGCTTTCGGAACGCTTTCTGGACCTTTTTCCTGGTTTAAACCGTTCCACAAAAGCGTTGGAGCAGTCAGTCATGGGCCCACTCGCACACGCAGTAAACATCCCCCCGGAGTCGTAAGCCAAAAACATCACCAATCTGGAATGCATTCCGAATGCAATCGGGAAATACTCTTAGAACTCTATGTGAGAATACTATTACTTGAAAA